ATAAAAATGTTTGCTTGTTCTAAAATGGTTAATCCCGTTTATATTTTTCCAAATTTCTATACCGTTTTAGAGAAAATTAAAAAAACATGAAAATATTATTGAATTTTTCCTGATGAAATCCTAAAACGCAAAAGGCGTTTTCTATGGTAATATAATTTCGATTTCATTCTTTGATAGATGGTTGTTATTAATTTTGATTAACGTCATATTTTTTGCTGTTATTAAAGTATCACATTTTCCAATAACTATTATCATCCTTTCCGTAGCATTGAACTAAATAAAATTTTGTGCTTCTCTAACGTGTTTAAACCAATAAAAAAATATGACGTTAATTAAAATTTTATCAATAACAATCTATCGAAGAATGAAATCGAAATGATATTACCATAGAAACGCCTTTTGATTTTTAGGACTTAGGTATAGAAATTTGGAAAAGTATGAACAGGATTAACCATTTTAGCAGAAGCAAACATTTTTATGAAGAATGCATTTTTCTCAAAATGTCAATAATAAAACTATTACAAAACGTAATGTTCGTAATGAAAACTAAGATCTAAATCATATTTTTAAATACCAAACTGACATAAACAAATTAACCACTATACGTAAAGTCTGTACGAAACCGTTTTAAGACTGAATCTGTAAAAATACGTCGTTGAGAAAGTAAAAGATCGATAAAGCTAGACTTAGCTGATCGATATTCTCTTGGTGTAAACTTGTCCTAAGCAGTGACAGCGGCCAAGATCTCGATACCTTTCAACTTCACCATAGGCCAAGACACCGAAACTGGGGTCAGAAAGATAAGGGCATCCCAGACCAATACAACCACAAATGCTATCACATACTATCCTTATACTAAGCATGCCTCTGAGGCATCAGTAGGCCTTAAATTTCTATGGGACGTACTATTGCCCTCCTACGAAAACATCAGAGCTGGGAGTAGGAGTAGGATTCTAAAAACATGAAATTAGTGTCCTTGTTAAAAGAAAAGGACTTTAAACTCACCTCGAGATACTTCGAGGGTCTCCATGATAAATATGTCCGCCCTTTTTCGTCCGCCTCTTTCTATTAGACATGTTGGAGAATGAAGAAAAACGCAAGGAAATGTGCGTCAACAGCGTGCCAAATATCTTACGATAAGTGCCTGACTTTATCCTAAAAATATACATTGAAAATAACAAATTTGCAACCTGTTGCGTTGAAATTTCAGCTGATTTAGATTCTCAAGCAAGAATTAAACAATTCGAAATTCTAAAAGCCCAGAGTTGATAGCAGTTTTAGCTGATCAGGTGTCCTGCATTGATATTAGTCTAATCTCGGATATTCTTCAGGGATAATATTTATAGATGGTTCATTGCGTATAATCTTATGCATGGGAGATATTTCATGCTCAATTTTCAATTTTACCAATCTCTAAAAATTGAATAAAATCTTGGAATGAATTTGGGGTTGTATTTTTTGTATGCACGGACTACTTTTTATTTTCAATAATCATTTTATTCATTTTTCAATTTTTATTCGTTTTTTTTTTTGACAATCCATTATTGAACACTTAATTTATTTTATCCACTAATTGCATTGGTGCAAATAATTAACCCCTTTAATCAATCCGAATGCCACATTTTTCTGACATTTCCATGCTTTTCATCGAGCTTGGCATTCAGGATTAATGTTAAAGCTTTTGCTTCCATTTTTTTTGTCTTATTATAGCTTTATAAATCACCTATGCGAAGCAAAAAAGTCCCCTTCAAATGGGTTTATAAACATACAGAATGCAATAAATATGTTCGTGTAAAGTGTGAATTTATTGTGTTTAAAGAAATAACATTATCTTTGAGTTTAAGTACCTTCCGAAGGTTTAAATGTGTCATTGAGTTGCGTTAATATATTTTTACAAGCTAGAAAATATATAAAATTGTTCAGAGTACACGATACAAAGTTTTAATGCCAACTTTATGTTTCTCTATGCTGAATGGTATAATATAAAATATGACATAGTTATTCTATATATCATATTTTATTGTATTTATGGTAAAAAATTAAAATATCAAACCTTATTTTTCTTATTATTAAATTATGATCTCTCCAAAAAAATCCTTTATGGGTATTTCGCCATTGCATTGCAAGAAAATTTACAAAATAAAATAGTTATTTTTTGTAAACACTTCTGCGTTAAACCTAAACGGACACTGCTTGTCAGAAGTTGTGTTTACAGTTATACAAATTTGCCTAACAAAGAAAGTAATGCTTAACGTCTCGGAAAGTTTATCTCTTTCCGTCGTCCGAAGCAAAAAAATACAAAGAATAAAGAAAAAAAACTATTTAAAATATTTAAATTCAACTATTCCAGAACACTTTACTTTTTTTAAAACAGATACGTCTACAAGAAAAGTTAAACTTTAAAATTATCAATTACTACCTAATAACAATTACTTAATAAGGTAAAACCAAAAAGCCCCAAAATTTCTGTATGATTATTTTTAAATTTTATGTATGTTATGTTCTTTAAAATCAAAGAAGCGATTGCCATACATTACTAATATCTACAGATGTATGAGCAATACATTTATTTTTATTAGATTGAATTAAAAAAACCTCTTTTGTTTTTCTTTTAGAGGCTATCGCTTCTTTCATTATAATTTGGCGTTATTAAAATTTATTCTGTGCCCTGTGTCCCATGAATGCTGACAAATCCTAGATTTGTGAAAATCTCCTTTTCTTTAATAATCTTTATGTTCTTTAATTCTAACATTTAAGGGTCTAGATGTTTCACCAATGTAAAATTTATCGCATTCACATGGTATTTGGTATATTACATTTTTTATTTGTTGTTCTGTATTCATTGGTTTAGTATGTGATAAAATGGATCTAAGTGTATTTTGTGTTTTGAAAGATGTTCGTATGTTATATTGTTTTCCTATCCTTATTTTTTCCGAAATGCCTCGGATGTATGGAATTGTAAGTTGTATATATTGTGTATTGTTATCATTGTGTCTATGATTTGGGGTTTGTATTTCGTTTAATATTTTGTCAATAAAATGTGGTGTATAGAGAAATTACTACTCACTTTTTCGACGAACTGCTTGAATCCATTTTTGCTATTGACTTTTGATCAAATCGGTGTAAGAAATTATGAAGCTATAAAATGTTGTTTTGGGAGAGTTGAATATCCGGGAATGTTGAGTTATTGAATGTTATTGCACACAACAACGCCCTAATTACGCTCTTCTTTACGCGTTAACATTTTTCTGGGCAATTTTATTAACATTTGAAATTGTCACAACATAACAAGACACCTAGTTCGAATTCTTTTTCACTTATTTTTTACTACCCGAAACAGCGTCACATCACACAAACCTCGTAACTGAGTGTTTTATAGTCTCAATAACTGCGCTAGCAAAAAACTAAAATACTTAAATGTTACGACAAAACCCCGATTTCACAATTATTTTAATGCGATCGACATGACGGCGGCGGCGTGAACTATTTATTGATAATTTCTGATTTCTGCCGTAGAGTGCGTTGCTGTCGGAATTTGTTGAAATCAACTGAAATGCACCAAGCCTATAGGGAAAAATCTGAAAACTATACATTTGTAATTAAATTACAAAAAAATATGTGTGCACTATGTGTGCATATTTGAAGTGAAACTAGTTCTTACTTCCGTCCGTCTGTCTGTCTGTCCGTCTGACTCCGTTCGGGTACCTCTATCCACGTGTCGAGTTTGGTTCCAATCGACCCATAATTAGGAAAAATCCTGATGATTTCGTCTATTTATTGGCATCCGGTCGAAAGACGAGAGCGTCGAAATAATTGACTTGCCTGTGGTTACATTGGATGCGTGTCCGTACGTTTTTTTGGTCGTACGTGCTCGGAAATGCACGCAGCAAAAAACAAACAAATGGTATCTACGCAGGCGGTTACATTGCATCGGAGTTTGCGCGTGCGTGCACGTACGTCAATTTCTGTTGGTCGGATGAAACAAACTGGTTTGTTTGTTTAATATGTGCACGTCCGAGCGTTCGAATTTTTATAACTCTGGACCCAATACATTCCCGAAAAATTTGAATATTTTTGAATACCAGGTTTATATATTTTTATTTAGGATATATTAATGTTGATGGAAACATTCTATAATATTCAAAAAATTTGACCGGTTGCTGTTTTAATTCACCAAATATTTTACATATTTATTTTCTTTTCCTTTTCTTGCATATAAATCATTTACCCAACATTTTCTTCTGTTCATAAGTAGTTATTTTAACATTAAATCCTCAGACAGCATCAAAGTAGTGGCGTTCGTTTTGACAAACTCGACACATAGGACACCATGAACGCGCATCTAATGTAACCACTACAATAAAATAGTCGTGCGACTAAATTACGTCAGAGCTCGCACGTTTAAAAAAACGCACGGACCCGCGTCCAATGTAACCGCGGACTTACTATAACATATCTTTATCGTAAACAATCTATATTGTATAGTTTAAATGTATGTAGCACATATCTTAACAACAAAAGTTAATCTAAACGCAAATCACAAAATGGCTTGAAATATGTTTGTTTTGCAGAAGTTACATATTTTATTTATATTAATATTTTATTGTCTGTACTGTGAAAAGTGTCTACTTTTTAGCAGCAGCATTTTAATTAATTAAAGGCAAGTAAACATACACTTTAACTATAACATATCAAATTATCTGGACATGTAGACAACACAGTGTAAGAATATTAAAAATAAAAAAGATAATGTTTTCACTACCATATATTACGAGTCTTAATCTCAAACAGCCCTGGCACCGGGTCCTTTATTTTCCCAGCCAATCCCGACCCCTCGTGTCTGTGACAACATCCACCCACAAGATGTTTCGAAATCGTCATTGGTCCACTGAAAAGATAACCGTCAGCTGAAATGCTAATTAAGACGACATCCCGTCCTGAAAAACTACGTTTTCTTAATTAGTTTAACAAAAATCAGCGTCATAGCACCAGCTCCTGAATCTTCTCTTTGTCAAAATGCATCGTACATCGCTTGGTATCAAAACGGAACCAAATCCTTCGTTTTTTGATCAAAGTGCGAGCTTAAACAACGTTAATTTATGTTACCACGATAGAAATTATGTTCACAACGAGATATTTTACTTAAATCCAAATTTCTATGGTAGTTTTGAATGTGTTTTCAATGGGGACAGTGCAGAATACTATGCTTTGCAAAAGCAACCTTGTCATAATGAGTTTTGGGGTAATAGTGGAAATAGAAGCGAAGTTAGGTGGGAGGAAACTTGTGAAAATAAGGAAAAAATTGAGGGGAGTTGTGGAGAATATAATGAATTAACTGAAGATGGTTTACAACAATTTCACCTTGATGGTGATGAAGCCTTTGTTGATGTTCATTCGGTGGAGAGTTCTAGCGATAACGGTAAGCTTCGTATTAAAAATTCTATTTTATTTTTACAGGGTGGTCCGAACTGTATTCCGGAAACTTCGGCAGCATATTCTGCAGATAAAAATAAGTGATAAAGTTCGTATAAATATAGGTCTTAAAATTATTAGTTTCGGAGTTACAGGGTGTAGAAGTTTCATTTTTATTTCGATTTTTTCCAAATAATTTCTAAACTATTGTCTACCTTTGGACTAAAATTGGTGTTAGTGTGTTTTTTTCCATGAGAAATTTGATTTTGATGTCAATATGACTCCGATTTGTCGGGAGCGCCACCTACATGTGTTTTAACTGTTTTGAAGAGTAGTAACTTTTCGTCCGTACCTGTATAAAACAACTGAGTGGAAAAATATACATTTTCGTGATTTTCTACGTAAAAAATGTCTCTTGGTAAATATCGCTATGAGCAACTGTTGTCAAGATATTTAGAATGGAAACAGTCAATACATGTCATTATTGACAAAAAATAAACACGTTGAGTAGATAGTTATTTGACTGAAATAACAAATTCGGGAATTTTTTTTTAATTAATCATAAATATTTCTGCAAAGAAATGATGATAAAACAATTTCTGTTGAACTTTTAGTACTAAAACATTTCGAATTCATGATATCAGTCTAATAAATATTTAGTCAACATGTTTAATTGTGTTAATGTCAGTGATGACAGGTATTGATAATTTCGATTCCAAATATCTCGAGAACCAATACTCGTACCGATTTTTCCCAAGAGACCTTTTTACCTTTTTACCGTAAAAAATGTCGTAAATGTATATTTTTTTACTTAGTAGTTTTATACAGATACGGACGAAACATTATTACTGTTCAAACCAGTTAAAATACATGTAGATGACGCCCCCTACAAATAGGAGTCATATTGGCATCAAAATCAAATTTCTCATGTCAAAAAACTCCCAGATACCAATTTTCATCCAAATATTGACGTTACTTCAGAAATTTTTTGAAAAAAATCGAAATAAAAATGAAATTACTACACCCTGTATCTCCTAAGCCATTTTAGGACATACATTTATACGAACTTTCTTACTTATTTTTATCTGCAGAATATGTTGCCGAAGTTTCCGGAATACAGTTTGGACCACCCTGTATACTTTATACAGTGTGAGTCTTAAATAAGTGGAAATATTTTCGGGGCTGGTATATCTCGATAAAAGAAACATATTTTCTCTTTGCCGTTTTTCAAATAAGTCCAAAATAACGGAGATTTATTTATAATAATAGCTCCCGTATATAGCGTTTAACGCCTTGGGAGTAGCAAGGTAGAGCTTGCCATACTGGAGCCGTTCGGTATACAAGGAAGGTAATGTGGCTAGCACTACGCTTCAACTGCCTATTATTACCTCAGGATTGTGAATCCCAAGTACTCATTTAAGGCTGAGTCGACCTAGGTACCCAAACTATTTTTATTTTTAATAAAAATTGTCGGCTGATCAAATGCCGGGTGTGGGATTCGAACCCACTACCTTGAGATTGGTAGACGAGAGCAAGTACCTCTACGCCACCAGGCACCTTTTTTTATTTTGAAAATTAAAAAAGAAATTTTGCTTACATTTTGAGAACCACTGGATCTTTTCTGGGTTTCTGCGTAATTCTTTTTTGTAAATTTAATCTACTACCTATGTTGCCATATTATGAAAAAATTATATTTTTTAACCAAAAAAAAATGTTTTCAAAAAATGTCAAATATTCTAAAAACAATATTCGCGAAAAAACCTTATAGACGTTTTTCTGGTTTTGAAATATACTACCCATAAAATAATTGCACTTATTTAAGACTCACCCTGTATAGTGTGCAAATAAATAAAAGAAAACAAATTGCACCATATATTTTCCTACAAAGTTATTTGATTATATAGGGCGAAACAAAATTACGATCTTTCTTCAAAAATGATTTTCGCTAAAATTGCTGTGCGAATGTCGCAGATCAATTGCTTTTGTAAGTGCACAGGAAAACAATATTTTTAAAATAAATAATACGTATTATAAACCAAGAAAATTAAAATTCTTGAATATAATATATGCTTCTATTCAAAATATTTTTCTCTACTAAGACATCATTCTTCAAACAAGTATTTCAGTTATTATTATAATATTGGCAGAAAAATATATTTTTAAAAGATTTACTTGTTTTAAAAATACCGTATGATCGAAAAAAAATGGCGTCTAGTTGGCTTGGAAATGACGATCAATGACATTTCCCATTTAATTTTACATATAAAATGACAGCGATCTTCATTTCATAGCCATCGCTGAGGCCATTTTTATTCGATCATACGGTATATGCTTTTAATGAATAATTCTGTTATTCTTCGTTTTAACCTTCATTCAAAACCTCGCGTGGATAAATTAGCGGTTTCAGTTACACTTTATACTTTTTAGTTTACGATCATTCACAATGTTTAAAAAACATAATTAAAATTAATAGAATATCGTAGCAACAGCTTGCTTTAAAAGTTGTATCCTTGCTTATAGTCAGTTTCAGTTGTATCTAGGGAATGCAATCCCGCACTAAAAACTCAATCCCGCAAACCCGCGATCCGCAAAATTGAGGGACTGGAAACAATAGTCATACATTTGGTCCTAAATAGTACAAAAGGCATTGTACATTTTGCATAGGCCCACAATATATTGATATAGCGTGTATCTTAAACTAGCTGTACAGAAATTTTGACCGATGTATACAGAGTGTTCAAAAAATATATTAAATAAGCTTACATTTTATTATAATTTATCTATTTATTTTATATACATATAAAAATATTATTCTGATGTTGAAGTTTTTTTAACTTGTGTTAGTTATCTGCTTTTAGATACACTCTATATCAATAATTTTTTGGCATATGCAGAATGTACAAAGCTTTTTGTACCATTTAGGACCATACGTATGACTAAAAATGCATATTTTTTGAAAAAACGTCGTATTTTCCTTAAAACAAAAAAAAATTAAAAAACCGATCAAATTGTTATTTCTAATTTCAATACAGATTAGTCGTACTTGGTAAAAATTTCGATTTTTTTAAAAATTGTAAATTTGCGGTAAAAAAGATTCTTGACCAAATTTTCACACTCTTATAAAACACCCTGTACACGAGAATTCACTAAATATATTTAGTGAAAACTACATAGCATCTTAATCACAATATTGCATCTAAAATCTGGTCCAAACCGCATCTCAAAATCTTTTTTAGTTCAAGAGATATTCAACTTTAAATTTACCCTAAAATTTTGCTTGTCCCGATAATTATGTCCGGCAGTTTATTTGACGAAATTGTCCACAAGTACCTACTAGTTAAACGCTTTTCTTCACTTACGCACATACGCCAGAAAGAAATCTAACAACTCCTGTTTGTTTCACTTATTTTTAATGGCCAAGCCGTAAGGGGAATCCCCCGGGTTTGTGTAGTAATGTGTCGATCCCGCAGATCCCGCACGGTAAATCCCGCAACTTTGATCCCGCGGAATCTCAGAGGTATCCCGCATTTGCGGGATTCCATTCCCTAGTTGTATCCATAGAGAAAGCCTAATATTTAGCTTATAAAACAATCAACTTTTGATTTCCAACCACAATTTCTCTTGACGGAAGATAATCAAAGACGAAAATGACATTTCTCGCAAATTTTGAAGTATATTTACTGAAAAAGTTAAAAGTTTGATAACTTTTGCTACTAATTGAAAATTAAAGTAACAAACTTCTACGCTAATTGAAACGACTAATTTGTAAAAAATTACGAAAAAAATTGTTCTTGTTTTGAATAAACTCAATTAAAATACTGCATTATTGCATGATATATTAATAATTAGTTTTTTTTAATTTTTTGTGAAACATTTTATGTCAATTCTGAGTATCTCTTTCAATTACGTAGAAACCTAACTTTGTACCGTGATTTAATATGGGATTAATGCATCCACCCACTTTATTTATCTTGCAACCTACAGTAAAAATAAAGTAAATGTCACCTGGGCTTCACCTCTATACTAGTCTAAACATAAAGAATTGTTTCAGGTCACGCTATACGATCTATCAACCTATGGGAAAAGCAGTAAATACTTTAGTGTTTGTTTAACGCGTACACTTTCCTTATTTAATGTCAATTATGGGCCTTGCAAGGTAGATTTTGTATAAATTATAGATAGTTCGTTTTTGCATATCTTTAAATCTTAATTAACTAGTTTGATATATATTTGTTGATATTATTTTTAGCAATGGCATGGCGGTTCTTAAAAAAGTGCACGTGGTCACATGAATCCCTAATTTTATGCGTCTTCAAAAGAAATAAACTAAATTTTCTCATTCTTTCATTAAGAGTATATTACGCTGTACTCTTCGTGTCGTTCTCAGGAGTCGGGTAAAGCGGGTGTGTGGCCGAAGGAAATATATATCACATTTCAGAAATCTGCCTAAGGCTTAGCCCGATCCTGTCGTGTTAAGCCACACCCAAAATTCTAAACACACGTGCCTTGATTAAGGCTTGATTAACGTTTGCAGAGCTTCAGCATTTGCCATAAAATAGCGAGCAATTTGTTACAAAACCATATAAATTTTATATCGCTGTAATCACAAAACTTCAATCTATTTCCATATTGTAACGGAATTTTAAATTATGTCTTTATTTTCGAGAAAATTTAGTCCAAACATAAGGAATATTTTGTTGATGTTTGACCTCCAAAATCTTAAAAATAAAGAAGTTTTCTAAAAATGTGCTACAATACGGATATAGTACCTATAATCCTTTATCTTTAATTTTCTTCTTCATTTGTGTAAACATACCTAATCAGTTTTACACAGAACGTTAAATGCCGAACGCTTACGTTGCTACTTTTTTGGATTAGTGAAATGGACTCCTAAGGCTTAAATCAATCTATTACTTTCTAAACAAATGTGTCAAAAGGTCGCAATTCCACGCATCTTTCATTAGGTTTATTCTAAAGCGTCATTGTATCGCTTGGTTCACTGCTCAT